TATTAAAAACGAAATAGAAGAAATACGGGTTAAGACGACTTTTGGTTTCTGCAAAGGCCATTGAGACCAATTTTGGGACAGACGTTTGTCATTTTGAGTATTTAAAAGATTCTTTTCCTCCCGTGGAAGTGCGCAGATTACAGGCTTCTCTCATGGCTTCAGGACGTCTATCTAGTTCGTGACTAGCTGCTCTCCGTAATTCCCAAGACGAGTATAAGACAAGGAGCTTAGAACTAATCTTTTAATTTCCTTGGCATAAGAACAAATAATTTAGGCAGTGAGCTAGATTCTTGTGAATGGGCTTACTTTCCATCAATCAGAATTGTGGTACTATACTAGTATTTCAAATGATGGGTCAGTGTCTGCGGAAGGATCGGAAAGTGTTCTTTCTCAACTTGTGAAGTTGCCATGACCTGCTCTGATACATTACTATTTATGTTTAATTTTTCATTTCTTTCATGATTGAGGACGATGTATAGGTCTTGATTTTTTTCTCTGCTCTAGAAAAACATTACCAAGCTGATGTGCTCTTTAACGTAAACAAACATTGCGTACTACACATAACATATTAATACCCACTACACATTACACATTACACATCACAGGCGTGTTTGGAAACACCTAAGATAACAATGAATAACACGCGTTGATAGCTCGAGAAACGAAAGCAGATAAATATACTCTTTATAGGAAGACCGATACTTCTCGAAAGTGTGTGAATAGTGGCTACACTCGGATTTAGTAGATCTAATAACGTACATCTAAAAGATAAGCTAATCAATGCATGGTCACGACGTTTAAGAAACTGTCCTCACGAAGTATTATATCATGCGACATGCAGCAAAAGATGTTGTTACGTTGCTTTAATCGAAGTCTACATTGGTCGCTTTTAAGCACAAGGGGGCTATCCCGAAAAATGATATTTTGGGAAATTCGAAGATAAAGTTTTTGTCCCTTGTTCAGTTTCTTTAAAAACAAGGAGAGTTTTCTTTATAACCAAACACAAATACACACCAATTAAACCAAACTTCTCATATAGGTAGGGCAATGCCCAATTTTGGTGTAAGTCAAGATTTCTGGAAACCCCTGAAACCTTAAAAGCGACAAGTTATAGGTGAACATTTTAAAAGGAAGCATGACCATGCTTAGTGTTGCATGAACTGTCGCTTTTTGTGTTTACGGAGTCTGAAAACGTCACACCTAACAATTCACATACAGCTGACGAAGTTTAAAATCCAATCTTTGTGAACGCGTGGAGAGTAAAGTATCCCGTAAAACCTATGACAGATTCCACCAGTTTAGAGTGAACTAATCACCTACTCTACTACTACTACTACTACTACTACTACTACCACTACTACTACTACTACTACTACTACTATTACTACTACTATTACTACTGCTACTACTA